GAGACTCTGACTCAAAAAAAAAAAAAAAAAAAAGAATAGGGAGACCTACTTTTATTCTTTTGGATTTTCTTTTTTGTTTTGAGTTGGAGTCTTACTCTGTTGCCCAGGCTGGAGTGCAGTGGCACACTCATGGCCACTCCAGTGTCAACTCGCTGGGCTCAGGCGATCCTTCCATCTCCACCTTCCAAGTAGCCAAAACTACAGGTGCGCACTACCATGCCGGCTAATTTTTTTTAAATTTATTGTAGAGGTGAGTGTAAAGTGTGCCTAGAAGGAAAAGATGAGCTGCTGGTGGTTTAAAAGTTTATTAAAGAAAATGGGGGAACTGGCTCTACAGAGAGAAACCAGCAGCTTTGTTCTCTTGCAGGCCCCTTATATAACCCCAGTGGGGGGGCGGGGCTTATTGAGTGCCAAGAAGCAGTTTAGGGAGTTCGAGCTGTCCTTGAGTTTGCCTGACCTTGAGATGCAGATGTCCACACTAAACCAGTCACTATCAAAATGTTGTTAATCACCTGTCTCTGAAATATAGGCTTAGGAAAGCAAGCATTGACAGTCAGTACCAGGCTTTTATCAGTCACATAGCTTTGGGATGCAGTCTAGGGAAAGCAGATATTGGCAGTAAGGCAATTAGTAACAGGACACTGTTAGAGCAGAGTGTTAGCTTTATGGGCTGTTGTGACTCTGTGCTCTGTTTGCAAGGTTTACATGATGGGTTGTTTTAACTACAATCTTCTTTCCCATCCCCCTACAGACCCTAACAATAAGGTCTCGCCAAGTTGCCCGGGCTGTTCTTGAACCCGTGGGCTCGGGCAATTCCCTCATCTCAGCCTCCCAAAGTGCTGGGATTACAGGCTTGAGCCACCGCGCCCAACCTGGACTTTCTTTAACTGTGTACTACTTACCTAAAACATTAGGAGGTAGAAATTTCCTGAGAAATTTTATTTCCTCACTATTTAAAACAAAACAAAACAGCACTCAGAAATAGCAAAAAGTGATGGTGGTTGGGCAGAGAATTGAAATCTTTATTGATAGAGTTTAAATCATAGGGAATGCTCAGAATCTAGACATATGGGAGGTGTACTTCAGCAAGGGACAAACAGATGTCTGTGATAAAGATTAGATCATCCACCTATTTTCATAATTCTGAATAGGACAAACATCTTTGTGGCCATCAAATGATCACTCTTTGGAAATCTTTGTTTCTATCCACTATTGAATGAATTTTTGTGGATTTAGGGTTTACAGAAAGTATTTTTCAAAACTCTTCAGGGAAATAAAGATTTAAATTAGCCATTTAAGAAGTAGGAATTTAATAATGAGTCTTGTCCTTTCTTCCCTTTTCAGACAGATGTAATTGTTAATTCTGTAAACCCAGCGGATATTAGAGTTGGACCTGTGGCGGGATCCATTCTACAACAAGCAGGAGCTGAAATGGAACGGGAATTTATTGACAAAAAGGCTAAATTGCTTCTCGATTCCCAGTTCATACTGGTCACAAAAGGATTTAATTTGTGTTGTCAATACGTATATCATGTACTGTGGCAGTCAGCAGAAAAACAACTGGTGAGTTCAGAATAAGTGCATCTTTATGAAGCTCCATAGTCTAGCCAGTCTTTTTAAAATTTCCATGGTTTCAGCTGGGTGTGGTGCTCATGGCTGTAATTCCAGCACTTTGGAAGGTCAAGGCAAGAGGATTGTTTGAGCCCAGGAGTTCAAGACCAGCCTGGGCCACATAGTGAGACCTTGTCTCAAAAAAAAAAATTAAAAAAAAGCTGAACGTAGTGGTGCATGCCTGTAGTTCCAGGTACTTGGGAGGCTGAGACGGAAGGATTGCCTGAGCCCAGGAGGTTGAGGCTGCAGTGAGCCACGATCGTACCACCATACTCCTCCAGCCTGGGCAACAGAGTGAGACTGTGACTCAAAACAAAAAAATTTTTTTTTTCCATTGTTTCATTACATTCATGAAATATCATTAGGGGGTATAGTCCCCGTTTTTTAGCCTGTGAATAACTGAAATACTGAACAACTTTATTTGCTACAAGCTATATCAATAAGTTTAGTTTAAAATGTTACCTAACCCATGTCTAAATTTTAAATGAGTATGCTTCAAATAGACACTGAAACATTAGTGCTCCCTTGATCTGAACACTGTTCACCTCACCACATCCAGGCCTTTTCATAAGTAGACAGGGGATTCAGCCTCTCCATATTCCCCTCCATGTGTTAAATTCTAGGAGGAGCTGGGATTTCCCCTCTGACACCCCTCCAGTCTGATCGACTTCCTGTGGTCTCTTTCCATCAGTGCCTCCTGTGGAGATTGGCTCTCTAGCTGACTCTTCACCTGAGGTACATAAAATACAAGCATTAAAGAATAGGGGGAACCCCTCAGATGTGGGAAGAGGGAAACTTACTCCTCTTCTCTGCCTTTGTCTTTTTTTTTTTCCACTATTTCTTATTCTCTCTTTTCTCTCTTGACTACAGCGCTCTCTAATCCCAAATTGGTCTTCTAATCTCTCTCTGTTCCTCAGTTTTCCAAAGTCCTTCTACAGTTAACCCTCCTTTATTAGTATTAGTATTTGATCTGATGTTAAACATTGGCCAAAAATATTAGCATTTCTCCTGGAAAAATTATGTGATGGATCTAAATGACATTGAAGAAATGCTGTTTTCTTATTTTAATTTCTATCTCCTTTTTAAACTTCTAAGAGCTCTTTATGTTGACCAGGAAGTGGCAGAGGAGGGGGGATAAACTAATGGCTGGCTCTCCGACCTGGGGAAATGGATAAGGCTACATATATTGGGAGAAATCACAGTGTCCAAATGCCCTGAACAGAACACAATTGGGCCACTTCATTGTTTCAATTTCTCTTCATCTAACCTTATAGCTGCAGTAGGTTCCCTGTGGAGTGGGTAGTTTCTTGCCCTCTGAGGAGGCATGGACATGACCCTGAGGGGGAGTGGAGGTTGGCATTGTAAAATATAGGCAGGATCAAGGGGTTAGTGGAGTCTTATTTTTCAGTCAAGTGCTGATCCTAAATTTCTGTTTCTTCTACAGACATTGAAAAATGCGATGAAGCAGTGTTTGGAAACATGCATTGAACTAAATATAACTTCCATTTCTTTCCCTGCACTTGGGACTGGAAGTATGAGTATAGGGAAGCAAACAGCAGCAGAGATTATGTTTGATGAAGTTTTAATATTTGCCAAAGACCATCCAAAAAAACAATTAACCATAAGGTTTGTGATCTTTCCAACAGATCTGGAGACATATAAGGTAAGTTCATATCTTTAAAATGTCCTAAGATTCGTTCATTCGTTCATTCAACAACATCTGTTTAGTATCTCCAATGTAAGACACAGAGTCAGATGCAGCATAGTGTGGTGCTTCTTTTCATATCTTGGTAAAATTTAAATTTTATAAGTTGCTCACTTCTGACCTAGTAAAGAACGTCATTACAGAAGCCATGTTTACTCCACTACCTAGCTTCTCTCTTTTCCTTTTTGGCATTTATTCTTCCTGAAGCTCCTTAAAGGTAAGCAACCTCCTAGTATTGGTGTGGGATTCTCTGCTCCTCTTTCTTCCTCCAAAAACAAAATTGTTCTTACAGCTTCTACTACTACCTCGGTAAAGTCCTGTCTTCTGAGCCAGCTTCAGACTCTTATCTCCAACCCTCTCTCATTTCTACTTGGATCTCTGCCTGTCATCTCAAATCCAATGTACTTAAATTCTTATCTTCACCTCTTCCCCTTTAACATCTCCATCAGTCTCAACTTTGCCTCTTACTGACTGTGTGAACTTGGGCAAGTTAGTTTACTTATCTGAGCCTCAGTTTTCTCAACTTTAAAAGTAGGATAATAACTACCATCTTAGGGAGCTGTTGTGAGGATGAAATTAGTTAATACATGTAAAACACTTAGAATAGAAGCTGGCACGCCAGGCTCGGTGGCTCAGCCTGTAATCCCGTGCTTTGGGAGGCCGAGGTGAGCGGATTGCCTGAGCCCGTGGGTTCGAGACCCACCTGGGCAACTTGACGAGATCTCATCTCTACAATAAATCAAAAAACTAGCCGGGCATGGTAGCTCGCACCTGTAGTTCCAGCTACTTGGAAGGCTGAGGCGGAAGGATTGCTGGAGCCCAGCAGGTCGAGGCTGCGGTGGCTGGGAGCGCGCCTCTGCACTCTACTCTGGGTGAAGAGTGAGACTTCCACTAAAAAAAAAAAAAAGAAAAGAATAGAAGCTGGCAAAGAGTACGCTTCTGTGAAGGTTGGCTGTTATCATGTCAATCATAATGAGCTGTAGTTCACTGAGTGCTGAATTACTACTAATGTTTTTAAGTTGAATTCTCACTCTGTTGCCCGGCTGGAATGCAGTGGTATGATCACGGTTCACCACTGCCTCAACCTCCTTGGCTCAGGGAATCCTTCTACCTTAGCCTCCCAAGTAACTGGGGCTATAGGTGTGTACCACACACCTAGCTAATTTTTTGTAGAGATGAGTTTTGCTATGTGGCCCAGGCTGGTCTCGAACTCCTGGACTCAAGCAATCAGCCTGCCTCGGCCTCCCAAAGTGCTGGGATTACAGGTGTGAGCCACTGCTCCCAACCTTATTACTAAATTAATTGTTTATGTAACAATTAACAGCAGAGGTGTGCCTGACTACTTTCGCTATATCCCCAGTACTGCCCTCAGATTCAATGTATTTTTTTTTTTTTTCAGTTCATCCATAGGTGACCTTAGAAGGAAATCAGTTGTGGTCCAACAAACTGGAGCGACAGGTGTTGTTAGGGGAATGTGTATTATGTGTCTGGGTGTGTGTGTCCAGCCTCTTTGTTTTTCACTTCATCTCAGCTTTTTGTTTGAGTGGACCGATCAAGCTGAATTTTTAACATGCTAATAAGTCCCTGATATATTCAGCATAATTAGTATATATTGCTGCGCTGTTCTGTCTTTAAAATGCCAGCCATCTCTTTGCTTTATTCTCACTTAGCTGGCATTTTCAAAAAAAGATTTTAATGATGTTAGGGAAGAATAAAAAGGAAATGAAATAAGATACAGCTGCTTAAAATAGATTTTCAAGACATAGGTTTCTGATTCTGCCAACAGCAACCTCCAAGTGCTAGTGAGACTTCCTGGCATGTGTTTGGGTTTTGGATGTAAAGGGCCTTGCTCAGTGCCTGGCAGAGAGCGGCTCCATATAATAGTTATCTGACTGCTCATCTTCCTACCTCCTGGCCTGCTCCATGTGTGTGGTTGCCATTTTATCCCTTCCTACGAGGAAATGAATTTATACTCGTTTCAGCTTGCTTTTTCCTGAAGCAAGTATAAAGGTTCCTATTCCTTCTGCTGCCTGCCTATACATGGGGAGATTTGTAGCATTTGCTAATTTCCATGGCTACTTTCAAGCTATCAATGTGATATCACTGAAAGCAGAGTTGGAAGAGATGGTCACAGTGGCCTCTCCTGAGCCAATGTAAGCTGGCTGCAGTACACCACTGTGCCTCATCCACAGCTAACAGGTGAGACGGTGGTGCATGACCCAAAGAAGTGGCTCGCCTTGTGATAAAATAAACATCCCGTCCTTCTAATGAAGTTCATCAGTTTCCCATAAGCAGACGATTATCACTGGGCCTGAGCACACCCTTGAACTGTTTATGAAACACCATGGTCATACAAGAGGAATTCATTATATATAGAAATGAATATATATATATATATTCATATATATATATGGTTCATTCTCTTCGACATACAAGCAAAAATGTGCATGGCAGTTCAAGAAAAGTGGGAAGACCAACCACAGTCTGAGTGCTCCCCGAGGAGCTAATAATAAAAAGAGCCACCGTATATTGTGTCTACCAGGCACTGTGCTGAGAAGAAACTGTCTCATTTCATTCTCCCCTTAATCCTGTGATGAAGCTACAGTTGTCATCTTCATTTCACAAATGGGAAACATAACCCAGAGGTTAATATGCACACAGCTAGTCAAGTGGCCAAGCCCAGATCGCAACCTGGCTCTGTCTGTCTGTCCCCAAACCTGTGTTCTGAACCACTAAACAAAAACAAATTTTAAAAAAAACTTAGAAGTGATACATATTTCCATTTTGTAGCTCAAAGGAGAGGATTATTTTGTACAGTAATTCATATTATATAGTGAATATTGACCATTCCTTCAGACTTTTATCAATATTAACTATATCATATCCATGTGGCAGTATGATGTGACACGTGTATATACCTTTGATCTTCTAATAAGTACATCTTTTATTCCAAGATAAGTCTAAGTCTTGCAATAAGAGAAATGCATTTAATATACCTGACCTACCAAACACCATAGCTTAGCCTCTCCTACCTTAAACATGCTTGGAACACTTACATTAGCCTACGGTTGGGCAAAACCATCTAACACAAAGCCTATTTTATAATAAGGGACTGCATATCTCATGTAATGTATGGTTTACTCTTGTGATCGTATGGCTGCCCGGCATCATGAGAGAGTTATCTACAACATATCAATTGCCTAGACAAGCCCAAAACTAAAAATCCTAAATACAATTTCTACTGAATGCATATTGCTTTTGCACCAGCATAAGGCTGAGAAGTCCTAAACTGAACCAATGTAAGTTGGGGACCGTCTGTACTGCCAATTTTATCTACTTTGAACAAGGAAGACAGTGGATATGATGCTTCCAAACTCTAGGAGAGATGTGTTATTTCAAACAGACATAATGTTAAAGGGTCTACATGGGGGACAATATGCACAAATCTTTGTGTATAGACCTTCATATAATAATAATTGCACTAGCTAACATATACTGAATTCTTATTATGTCCAGGGATAATTTTAAGCATTTTACAGGAATTAGCTCATATGAAACTGATCGTTTATTCAATCTACAGACCAAGTTTATATGTATGTATAACTTTTTTAATGAGTTTGTTTTATTAATTACAGGAGCATCTGTCTATATTTGTCTTCTTCGGTGACATACCCAAAGCTTTAGTTTAGTGTCTAACAAGCAATAAGCAGGACATTAATATCTATTGGATGAATGAATGGTTATATTTTGCCTTGGAATATAAATTCTTCTGTTTTTATGCCACATTTTGACTTTCTTTCTGTTTTTCCTACACTTGTTTCCCCTACATGTTTTAATAGAATGTGGTGCTCTTCCCTAGGACTTTCCTAAAGCTGCTTTACATTTGTGGCTGTAGGAATGGGGACTAACAGAGCAGATGAGGTCAAGTGTGGCGTGAGCAGATAGAGAGAGAGATTTTGATGACAGTGTTTCTTTTTTTTTTGAATTGGAGTCTCACTCTGTCACCCAGACTGGAGTGCAGTGGCCGCTTTCGGCCACTGCAGCCTCGACCTGCTGGGCTCAGGCGATCCTTCCGCCTCAGCCTTCCAAGTAGCCGGAATTACAGGCATGCGCTACCAGGCCCGGCTAATTTTTTGATTTATTGTAGAGATGAGGTCTCGCTGCCCAGGAGGGTCTCGAACTCGTGGGCTCAGGCAATCCACTCACCTCAGCTTCCCAAAGGCGTGGGATTACAGGCTGAGCCACCGAGCCCGGCTTGATGACAATGTTTGTTTCTAAGCCTTGCTTATGACTCTGTTCTGTTTTGCTTATTGTAGGTGTTCAGTGCTGAAATGGTAAAGAAGACCAAAATGCTGGGTCTTCACAATCATAATGGTGAGTAAGAAACTCACAGACCTACAAGTAGCATCTCCCACCATTGGCTCATTCTGTCCTTGATCATCTGAACTAATGGAGGGGAGAAGAATCAATAAACCAGATATGTCTCACTGTTCTCCTGCTTGAATATCTACCTGCTCTATATCCTGACCATGATTCTATCCTTGCTCAGTCCAGATTTATGATATGAACAGAGGGATGCTGAGTCACAGTAGATAATCTATGGTGTGGGAAGTTCATTCATAAATAGATATCTATAATTTTTTCTAATAAAAAGTTCTTCCCTCCATAAATTGGCTAAGCCAGTTACTTCCTTCTCTGACTATGTAAAAGGGGTTATTTATTAGTAATTACAGAAAATATATCTCTGTGATACCAGATAAGTAGGTTATCCCAATGTTACTCAAACCTGCGTAACCACTGGGATCCTGATGGAAATGAGGATTAGAAATAAACAAAACTGTGTATAGACCCCAACTCTACAAATTCTGATTCAGGAACTCTGAGTCTGAGGCAAGCATGTATATTTGGAATGCCCTCTAGTCAATTTTGCTGCCACACCAGGTTTGGGATCACTAGACTGAACCAGTTCTAGTTGCTGGCTGCTAAAGAAGGATTAACTTTGTCTCACAACCCCATTCTTTTAGCAGAGTTTGGGTGGACTGAGATGGACTGTTCAGTGGCCCATCAGTGCTGGGGAACTTTAACAGTTCTGGTCTGGGACTGTGCCTTTTATGAGACTGTTTTTTTTTTTTATCTGTATGATAATGATAATTACAGCCTGTTGTAAGGGTAACTGGAGATTATGTATGTAAAAATGTTGTATAGATTGTAATGCATTAAACAAATGCCAGGGGATAAATAATGAATGAAAAGATAGATAAACTCCCCAGGTGGCCCAGAGGAGGGAGAGAGCCTTTTGACTGGAAGGGATCAAGAACGGCTTCGTGGATGAGATGGTTTTAAGACGAGCTTTGAGGATGGCAAGATTTTCAATGTCCAGAGATGGTGAGGTAGGGCATTCAAGGTGAAGAAAGCCCACAGGAGCAAAAAAATCCAGTGCATGTTTAGAAAACTACAAGGAGTAAGAGGAGTTGTTTTTGGTGAGGATAACATAGAAAAGGAACATTAAAACGTCTATATGTCATTAATTTGAATAACGAGTCACCATTAAATTCAGTAATTATTATTATTATTATTATTATTATTTGAGTCAGAGTCTCACTCTGTCACCCAGGCCGGAGTGCAGTGGTACAATCATGGCCACCACAGCCTCAACCTGCTGGGCTCAGGTAATCCTTCTACTTCAGCTTTCCAAGTAGCTGGAACCACAGTGGCACACCACCATGCCTGGCTAATTTTATTTATTTGTTTGTTTATTTAATTTTTTAGATTGTGGAGACAAGGTCTCACCAAGTTGCCCAAGCTGGTCTCAAACCCCTGAGCTCAGCCAGTCCTCTCGCCTCTGCTTCCAAAGTGCTCATTACAGGCAGGAGCCACCATGCCTGACTTTGTATAGATGCCCTTAATTCCTGAGGGCATCTATAAAGGAATTATATAGGACAGTACAATAATTGACATAATAATGCTGATGACCTCAGATTATCACGGAAAGGTTAAAGTATTTAGGAATACAGAGAGTGATGTGTTTCCATTAGGTATATCTAACTCATAAATTGTTAATATTAAATGTATTTTGGTGCTAGGAGAGTTCTCTTTTAATAATCTGAACAATTTAGTTATCTGGAAGAATAGTACTCACTTTGGCAGCACATGTACTAAAATGTCAATAATTATTTTCTCCCGATAATGATGGATGAATGAAGTTATGACCATGCATTGTTTTATTTTCACCTAAAAAGTTCATAATCTGCCAGGCAGAACAAGAGTTTTTAAAAAAGTATACCTCCAATTAAAAACCCCTGTCACCTCTTACTGTTGTCTAAAACATTGGCTTTTATGTTTTTACTCAGAGGGATACTATTCTCCCTCTGTTACTCCTAGGCCTGTTCTAATGGTGTTTCATAGCTCCTGGTACCACCCAACTAAGCTATCAGGAGAAAGATACTATTTAGTACTGTTGTCCTGAGATTGCATACTGGGAGGTAGAATTGTGGGCGCACTGGAGTCAAGTGCCCACACCTACTAGCTTCATGACCACCATTAACTTGTCCTATAGCCATGGGCAAGTTACTTAATGACTCTGAATCAGTTCCTCGTTTATAATATGGGACTACAAATAGAACATACCTATCTAACAGGGTTGTGAGGCTTGAATAAAATAATACATGTAAAGCACTTGAAACAATGTCTACACAGTATAAGTGCCCAACTTACTTTTTTCCCCTCAAAGTGTGTTTGAGATGTGGCTAAAGTGCATTCTTCTTCACTGCTATAAAAATATTCCATTGTTGAAGGATATTGGGTTATTTCTAGTTTTTTGCTGTTACAAACAAGAATGTGAACTTTCTTGTGAAAGTGGACACGTTTCTTTAAATAATATGAGTGGTTATCTCAGTTTTACATCTGTCATGTATATGTAGGCATTCCAGTTGCCCTATATCCTTCCCAACACTTAATATTGTCAAACACGAATTTTTTTGCCAGTCTAGTGGGCGATTCTTCATTTCCCCGATTGCCAATGGAGATAAGCATCTTTTCACATATAAATGGGCCATCTGTGTTTCCTCTTCATTGAAATTTTCCCCCAACTGGCTACTGTGTAGTTTCTTTTTCTTAATGGTTTGAAGAAATTCTTTATATATTCTAGGTACTGCTTGACCTATGGATTCCCTCTCAACTGTTCCATTGCCCCTTCCTTATTTTGCAATTTGGGCTCAAAGTCACTCTAATTTATCAGACATCCTGTTTATATATGGAAAGGTGACTCCCAACTCCACCCTTTAAACAGCAGGAGGTCCACAGTGCCTGTCACACACAGATAAAAATAAGGAACCCTGGCCGGCTCGTTGGCTCAACCTGTAATCCCGCACCTTTGGGAGGCTGAGGTGGGTGGATAGCCTAAGCCCACGGGTTCGAGACCTGCCTGGGCAGGTGAGACCTCATCTCTACAATAAATCAAAAAATCAGCCAGGCGTGCACATGCCTGTAATTCCAGCTACTTGGAAGGCTGAGGCGGAAGGATTGCCGGAGCCCGGCAGGTCAAGGCTGCGGTGGCCAGGAGTGGCCACTGCACTCCAGTCTGGGTGACAGAGTAAGACTCCAACTCAAAAATAAATAAATAAATAAATAAGGAATCCTGAGTAGTGGTATTTTTTCCTTTCATTGTACTTTAATAATTTTCTAGTTTTTCAATAATAAACATATATTAGTTTTATAATCAGAACTCATGCTTAATTAAAATTTTTTTTTCACTTTTCAAGCTCTGTGGTTTTCAGAGATGTTTGTGTTTAAGCCTGCTGGTAACAAGAGGTTAAAAGAAAATTCCATTTGATAGGAAATAATTCATTACCATCTAGGATGAGATCACAAGGTGCAGTCATCTGAGAATTGACAAATGCAACACAGCAGAAGCAAGATAAGATAAAGTCAACCCCTTTGGGCTAAACTCTTGTGTTCCCAACATGATGACTATACATGTAGGTTTCCTGTATACTCAGCGCGACTTTCAGATATAGATACTTAAATGAAGCTGCTACTGCTGACAGTGGTGACAGTCTCATCAGGGTAAACTCGGGCTATGTTTTGTTTGGCACTGTTTTAAAACCCACTAGCGTTTCGTGGTTGCTTATGACAGTCATTTCAGGTCCCCAGTCGACCAGAGTGGAGAAAAGAGAAAATGGGTTTGAAGCTAAGTCTCCTGCCATCAAGCTGACAGGATTCAACAAGGAAAAGCTATGTGAGGCCCATGCGTGGATCCAAAGAATACTGAGCCTCCAGGATTGCCACACCATTGAAAATAATAATATTCTGTACCTTGGGAAAAAGGAACATGACATTTTGTCTCAGTTTCAGGAAACCTTTAGTGTCTCCATCTCAGAAATTACCAGCCTGGGAAAGACAAGTTTAGAGATTAAAGGAGCCCAGGCTAACCTCACTGAGGTTGTTATGAACATTGAAAATATGCTGTGTGAAGTACAGGAGGAAGTGGCAAGAAAAAAGGAGCAAGAACTTTGGAGATTTTTAGGTGAGTAACTTTCTATTAAGTTAAAAAATCAGTTGTCCTAACTGTTCCTTCTTTTGGGTGTGAGTATGCCTGGGTAAGGGATAGACTAGGAGAGGAGAGGCCAAGTGTGGTGGCACTTTGGGAGGCCAAGGCAGGAGGATTACTTGAGCCCAGGATTTTAAGACCAGCCAAGACAATATAGTGAGACCTTGTCTCTACAAAAAAATAAAAATAAAAAAATAATCTGGGCATGGTGGCGCGTGCCTGTAGTCCTAGCTACTTGAGAGGCTGAGGCAGGAGGATTGCTTGAGCCCAGAAGGTCGAGGCTGTGGTGAGCTATCCTTGTGCCACTGTACTCCCTCCTGCAATGTGGTAACCCCAAATCTGATAGAGCTTGTGTGTAATGTTTACCTATTCCAAAGAAGTCACCCAGAAGTGCAGCAGGGAAAGACATTGGTTTATCTTATGGGAGGCACCAATGGAGCAGGTTGGTGAAGAATCCACCGGAATCTGTGCCTTGGGGCAGTACAGCAAGCAGTTTTATAATCAAACTTGATGAGACCTCAGCTCTACAATAAATCAAAAATTAGCCGGGCATGGTAGCGCGTGCCTGTAGTTCCAGCTACTTGGAAGGCTGAGGTGGAAGGAACGCTGGAGCCCAGCAAGGCAAGGCTGCAGTGGGCGGGAGCAGCCACTGCACTCCAGTCTGGGTGACAGAGTGAGACTCCAACTCAAAAAAAAAAAAAAAAGAGTGAGGACTACATTGCTTTCAGCTTTGCTTGGTCATCTGCATCCCATGACTCCTTATTGGGAATATGCATACTTTTCAGAGACCAGCCTTGGCCAGAGGCCACTCCCTGAGGAAGGAGTCAGATAAGGAGGGAAACACAGACCCCACAGACCCCAACTCAAAAAAAAAAAAAATGGGAGAGAAGAGAGCAAACTATTCTGGTTCTGTGTTAGGTCATAAACTTTTATAAGCCATTTTTTTTACTCTCTACCATCAGGGTTATTTATTAGGAAATGAACACACACACACACACAATTGGATTTACTTATGATAACATGGATTATCTAAGAGGTAATTATATGGAAAGCGTATGATAAAACAGGCCCAAACCTTGGGGAAAATTATACATTCCTAATTCTGCAGATGAAACATTTAAATGTAAACACATTTCTCCTGATTAATGTATTTCTTTATAGAGTTTTATTGCATTTATTTGTTGCTGACAGCATTAGGAACCCTAAAATTACTTGTGAGCCCTCTCACCAACAAAATTATTAATTGGTAATGTGAGATATACTCAAGTATCTCCTATTTAGGATACATGTGAGAATTTGGATCTGGAGAGATCCTTTTAGCAGAACCCTAGAGCTACCTGGGAAAGTAGGCTATTTAAGTGCCATCCTGGGTAGGATTGAAGATTATTTCCTTCAGAAAATGCATATTGCACCTATAGTATGTGCCAAGCATTGTGCCAGGTGAAGGATATAGTGATAAGACGGACATTGTTTTTTTTTGAGTTGGAGTCTCACTCTTGTTGTTCAGGCTGGAGTGCAGTGGCACCGCAGCCTTGACCCACTGGGCTCAGGCGATCCTTCCGCCTCAACCTTCCAAGTAGTTGGAACTACAGACCCATGCCACCATACCCAGCTAATTTTTGTGATTGTATTGTAGAGACAAGGTCTCACCAAGTTGTCCAGGTTGGTCTCAAACTCCCGGGCTCAGGCAAAGACATTGTTCTTAAAGTCTACTAGGAATACTGACCAGAAAGCAGGTTGGTGATGATCAAGGAGGGTGAAAGTGTGCAGGGAGCACTGAGGGAAACATCTAATCCAGGCTTGGGAGGTCTGTGGAAGGCTTATTGCAGGTGTCATAAATGGAAAACTAAATCATCAGTAGAAGTCAGCCAGACAAAGAAAATGTCAAGAAATAATGTCGCAGGGCCTAGATTATGCAAGACTTTTTAAGTCACACAAAAGAGCTCAGAGGTTTTCTTGAAACAAATGAGGAACCTTAAAAGATTTTAAGCAAAGATAAGATCAGACTTGTGTCTTAGAAAGATCACTGGTCATAATGTGGAGAATGGATTATTAAGAGGTACAAAAATTCAGATGCAAAATTTCAAAGACACCCTTTTTTTAGAGACGGTTTCTTAACCAAGTTGCCCAGGCACTCCTCTCACCTCTGCCTTCCAAAGTGCTGGGATTACAGGCATGAGCCACTGCATCCAGCAGGACACCCTATTCTGACCATGTATTTGTAAAAATAATTGGGGAAGAAATGGTTAAAGCGACTGGGAAATTTCAATAAATGTTGTATCCACATTCCACAGAAAACCCAGTGTCAAAAGAAAATCGATATAAAAATCATAACCAACATTATGATTTCTATTTCGTTTTTAAAACATAATGAATGTGGATAAAACATAATGAATGTGTTCTCCTCAGGAAGAACAGGATACAAAGAAACATTGATCTTCTGTGAAGCTTGTGGAATTACTTTAAATTAACTGCCTTCATAAGGCTGACCCATTCTCCCAGCTATTGACAATTTTGAGTCATGTAAGTCCCTTGTTCCACCGCAAGATGGCACTTTCGGGAGTTGATGACTAAGCATATTATTCCACAGCAGTGCTTCAAAGTTTCTCTTAATCAGATCCAGATCTTTATCAACAAAATGGATAATTTTGAGATGACTTATAAGGAAAATCAAATGTCTGTCAGTACAATAAATTTAAAAAAATTGAAGTTAGGCATCACCTTCCTTTTATGTTACTTTTTTAATCCTTCTGACCTCAGACCTTTGTGATATTTGGGTCCCCAGTGCCCAACCTAGCGCCTCGAATGGAATGTAGGAAAAGCTTGGTAAATGTTGGATTCGAGTGAATGGAACTCGAATGTTACAACTTTTCTTTTGTGTATGTGTTGGAGTCTAACTCTGTCACCCAGACTGGAGTGCAGTGGCCGCTCCCGGCCACCACAGCCTCGACCTGCTGGGCTCCGGCGATCCTTCCGCCTCAGCCTTCCAAGTAGCTGGAACTACAGGTGTGCGCTACCACACCCGGTGATTTTTGATTTGTTGTAGAGATGAGGTCTCGCCAAGTTGCCCAGGCGGGTCTCGAACCCGCGGGCTCAGGCAATCCACTCACCTCAGCCTCCCAAAGCACGGGATTACAGGCTGAGTCACCAAACCTGGCTACAATTTTTCAATAGGAGCTATTGCCCTCCAGAATGAATGTACAGCCCCATCTGTTGATGTGTCCTGGCTTTGGACCTCCTCTACTGTGGAGCTTTGTCCCTCCTGCTTTCTCAGATTTACAACTTGGCCCCCTTGAATTTCCTTCAATTCATCACCTGCTTTTCATGGCCAAATTGAACCCACTCAGTTAGTGAGTGTACTGAAGATTAAATCATTTTAGTTTACTTGGTCTTAAGTCAAACTAAAAATAAACCAAGAGAAAACAAACCTTTTTTGTTTCCATCTGTCCACCTGTATATTTAGTCCAGTAAGGAATTCCTTTGGACAAAAACAGGTTGTCTCTTGAGTTTAAGAAAGGAAGGGAGGGAGGGAGGAAAGACGAGACACCATAGATAGGCTCTTAAATCTCCAAATTTTGCTCTTGGCTGGATGGTAGATGAGCAATACATGCTCCAAGTATTTTGCCTTGTTCTCTTACAGGAATGCAGTGGTGAAAGCCAGGTTTGAAATCAGATCTTTACTTACTAGCTGTGTGATACTGGTCAAGTTACTTAACTTCTCTGAACTTCAGTTTCCTTTTTTGTAAAATTGTGTTAACTATTTCAGTGGTGGTACTGTAATAATGAAATGAGGTAAAAATGTGAAATCTCTTTGAAAACTTTGAAGTGCTATATAAATGCTATATTGTTTTCCATCATTCCTTAATATTTTTTATACCTGTCTCTTTTTTGCTGATAGGCATCGAGAAATAAAAACATTTCCTATGAAATTATGTATCATCATGACAGCATTGTCGGGAAGGGAGTATATATTTATGCTCTTTTTTTGTCTCACATCCCCTCAGTCTCATGATTCAAATCATCCAAAGACAAATGTATGACTCCTCTGTTTTATCCTGACGACTCATAATGTTATAGGTCTCCTTGCATGTTCTAAACAATGTGAGGCATACAACTGAAACTGGTTAATCTCTTCCTCCAAATTTCTAGAACTTGTTTCATTAAATTTCTTTACAAGCTTTTTTCCTCTCACAGAGCATTGAGAACAAGTTTTGTGTTACTAATTTTTAGGACAATGGACTGATCAGCAACCTAAAACCCCAGATGAAATGAAAGAAAGGATCATGTTTCTGAGGAGTCCAGTGACTTTAACTCAAGAATATCACGATCAAAAGAGAGAGTTTGAAAAATGTGGTTTGCAGGTTATAAAGGTATACCTAATTAACAAGAGGATTTGGCTCATCTTGCTATTAATTAACTTGGTTCTGTAGCCAAAAGAAAAGTTCACCCATTGTTGACTCTAAGCTAGACACTCATGGACTGGAAATCCTAGCTCAGTAAAATTGGAAGGAGGGCAGGGAAGGGAAGGCACAAGGAGTATAGCTGAAATCAGGAGATAGAAATGATGTCAGGACATACAGAAGCACAAGGAAAGAGCTATCTGTCCATCTTGAGCAAAATGAAGGGGAATAGCAGTTATCACACTGTATTACAATTGTTTACCTATTTTACCTCTCACTCATGAACTTTTTTAAAAAATTTATTCTTAGTGATTCTGAAATATACAAAACAGTTATGTGCTCCATGTTTTGGTCAATGATGGATTGCACATACGTTGGTGGTCCCATAAGATTATAATATAGGTTTACCGTGGCTTTTTTAGGTTTAGATCTGTTTAGCTACACAAATACTTACCATTGTGTTACAATTGCCTACAGTATACTGTACAGTAATGTGCTGTATAGGTTTGCTAAGTCACTCGTGAACGTTAAGAGGGCAGAGACTATGGCTATGTTATTGACCATTTCATTACCAGTGCCTGGCACATAGCGATTACTCAGTGAAGTTTTATTAAATGAATTTGTCAAAGAAGGGTCAGGGCATTTTGAAGAGATAGAAGGCAAACTAGGAGAGGATTGGGGGAGGAGAGACTCTTATGAAACTTTATATGAAAAGCAAATTGCATGAAAAATAGTATGCACATAGTGTCTTTATTTTTGAAGCAGGCAATTTAAGGCGCAGTTCTCCAGACTCTTTTTCAGTTTTTCTTTTCCATGGCTATAGACAGAGAAGATAGAAAATAAGGCTCTTATGGCTGCCTTCCAAAGAAAGAAGAAAATAATGGCAGGAGGATCGCACAAGGAACCCGTGAGCCACGTGCTGTTTCAGCAAGTGCCATACCAGTTCTGCGATTTGGTATGCAGAGTTGGCTTTCAAAGAACGTATGCAGAGCCCTGCGGTAGGTGTCAGCCCTCATCATCGGGGCTACTCTGTGTGGGAATTGGTGAGTGAATGTCAGCAGATGGGCCACCACAAGTAGCATTTGGTGCTGTGGGGAGGGGATCATTTGTGGCTCGACTTTAGAGGTCAAGTCTTTTGGAAAGTGTGACGATTTTTATTTTTCCTTTGTATCTTGTTGACGATGAATTTTACATGGATGAAAGTGTGAGAAGTAAGATATATGGGGCACTGTTTTTCTCATTTCTGTGTTATTGTGTCCTATCTGCAGAGAGTATCTTGAAGCTTTTTTTTTTTTGCTCATCTCAATAAAAGTGTTGTCAATACTGCCAAACCATCCTCATCTTTTAATTAAAGGAGCATTTTCCTAAATTCAAGAAAGTTGCTTTTTTCTCTTTCATCCTCTTCATTTCCTGCAGCCTGCTAGTGAATGAATTAGATATCATCTGGAAGGTGAAGTGAATGACATCTTAAGATCATTCTCAGTCACAGGAATGCAACATGTAGCTTCCATGTCTCTTTTCAGTTGTACAAAAATATTGCATACACAACTGTTATATTGTGTCCTTTCCTCTTTAGTCACCAGTGAAAAATTCTGGCTTTACATCTGTCCAACGGAGGATATGAGGTTTAGTAATAATTGTGGAGGGGTACCTAGCAATACAGCTTGATTTTGCCTGGTCCATTAAGTATGTGACTCTTGATCTTTACCTTTCAAAATATGTAGCATGATCCTTGCTACATATTTTGCTGTGGAGATAGTTTTGATAGTCTTGGTTTGTGGAAAACAAAAGGCCTGGAGATCATCTCTTTGTCCCAAAGAGAACATAGGCAATACCTGGGGTGAAAATTGAACATATACAATTCCTGGGGATAAAAATAGGGAAAGGAATCCCCATCAAGAAGTCTTTTGAGTGCAGCCAGGAAAGTGATGATCAGTATAGTCCTTCTTCAGCAGTCTTAAAAATCTGCAACTTTCATCGGCTCCTAAACTGGCTTCTCTGCAATCTCACTCCCTGCTTCTGCAGAAACTACTTTCACTAAGTTCATCACTAGCCTCATGTTTTCCAAATCTAGCGAGTACTCTCTTTTCTGTCCAGTGGCAGACACTGCTAATTGCCTACCCAACATTTGTACACATCATCCTTCCTAAAACATCTAAGACACCCACCCTCCTCCCGAGGAAGGAACTCCCAAAGTCTTAGCCAGCTTCACCATCAGTCTCAAGTTCAGGCAGTTTTCTATTAAAAGCCAAAGGCAAAGTATTTCCCCAACAGACGCAATGTATAATATGAGAAGGAGCAGGGAAATTGCAATAAAAACTCCCATTTCGAAAGGGGAGAAGGAAAATGCACAACAGTCACTGACTGATAACCACTTATCACATGCTGCTGGTCAGGGATAGTGAGGACTCCCTCTTCTGGGAGTGGAGTAAAACCCTTGCTTTGCACTCTAGGAAAATCTTCCTTATGTATTGTGGCTCTTAGCCATTTCTAGGTCCATTACCTATCAGAGGGCCATGGATTGCCTCACAGGCTAGAATCCACTCAGGCTTTTGCAGCTAGGCTTATGGTTTCTTCAGCAATACAGTTCTTTGAAAAATTCTGGAGGGGCTAGACATGGGGGCACATTCCTGTCATCCCAGCACTTTGGAAGGTTGAGACAGGAGGATTGCTTGAGCCCAGGAGTTCAAGTCTAGCCTGGGCAACATAGTGAGACCTTGTCTCTACAAAAATTTTTTTAAAAATTAGCCTGGTATGGTGGTGTGCCTCTAGTCCCAGCTGTTCAGGAGGCTGAGGCAGACAGCGCCTGAGACTAGGAGGTCAAGGTTGCAATGAGCCATGATTGAGCCACTGGACGCCAGCCTGAGCAACAGAATGAGACTCGGATTCAAACAAAACCCCAACAACTCAGCAGTCATGAGGCACATTTGCCTCTGGTCAAGTTTGCGTCTTTATAACCCAGCTACAGATCTTGTCTCCATACAACCTTTTAGCCTCAAGATGTTGGTCTTTTACCTTTGACTCTATGCTCTGCTCATGTTCCTATCCCTTATTTTAAAGCCACTGCCTTGAGGCAATTCAGACACTACCCATAATGTGACCTGTGCCAGTGAACTCATCTCTGTGGGCTGGTGAGAACTCTTTACAGATAGGGCTAGACAAGCCCCAGAGACACCAATCTTATCACCACTGAAGCTGTTGTCATTTGGAATATAAAAGCTCTGGCTTTGTCAGCCCTACAGTATTCCAAATTATATGACTTCCAGTCAATTTGGATAGCCACCCACAGGCTGAGGGAGCTTCTGTTAACAAAGCTTTATTTTCTTCTTTGTATTTATGTTTGCATTCCAGCCAGTTCTGAGTTAATCTGTTGCTTGCAGAACTTGGTTGAATGCAACAAAAGGAGACTACACACTTGTGGTTTCTTATGGAGTTGATTCATTTGTCTTACAAGTATTTATTAAGCACATTCTATGAACCAGGCCTGTGCTAGGGGTGCTAGAGACACAGCAGTAAACGCAAAACACAGAATTCTTGCCCTTATAATTTATTGTTTGTTCATCTGTTGCCCACTCTTGGTCTTTCTTAGTTTTCCTCTACAGTGTTTTCCTGGGTGATTGTACCTATTCCCATGGCCTCAACTCCTACCTCTGTGATTGTGATTTACGAATTTCTAATTCTAACCCCCTATCTCTCTTCTGACCTGCAGGTCCATATATCAGACTGCCTTTTGGACACTCATGTGTCCCATAGGCACCTCAAACTGACCTTTTTCTTGGCCATGATATTCCCTAAGATAGATGCCCTTTGCTTTCTGATTCTCCCTACTAGGGCTAATATCATCACCATCTACCTACCAGGTCTCCTAAGCCTGAAACGTTGTCATCCTCTATTCCTTCCTTTTCCTCACCTTTAGATCCAGGCAGTCACCTAGCCCTGATGATTCAGTCTCATAAAGGGGTCAGGCAGCTTGACCTCTCTATTCCTACTGCCTTACTTCATCTTCCTTTAGGCCTAGACTAATACCAGGTCTTTTCCTTGTCTCAAGACACACTCCTACCTAATCTATCATTTACCACCAGAATTATCATGCTAAAAAATTATATCCCTAGCTGGGCTCGGTGGCTCAGCCTGTAATCCCGCGCCTTTGGGAGGCTGAGGTGAGTGGATTGCCTGAGCCCGTGGGCTCGAGACCCGCCTGGGCAG